TGATAGTAAAGAAAATTCCACACAATGACCCACATCAAAAGAAGGGAATAGAATCATGAGAAAGAATGGTAGTAGTTTATGATGGTTTCACAACCATGGACCCCAAATTGTTGACCAAGCAATTTTTTGTATCCAATTTTTTTGAGACTTTGCGTTAATACATTTTCAGTCTTAGAATATAATTGAAATGTCAAAACATAAAAATTTTAAAACAAGATGTTACAACCAAAATGGGGTGAGATTAGAGAACAGAAATCTTGAGTACAAAAAATTATGTGTTAGTATTTCCAAAATAAATATAGTACCATCGAGAACAAATATAAAAAATCATATATATACAAAATAATAATTTTTACATATTTTTTTAACATATGTGACATGTAATAATAAAATTTTCACATTTAAAATGAGATCCACTAAAACAATTGGATAGGAACAAACCGATGCATAAAAGAAAAGTTTAGGAACTTGTTAGCTTATATTATATAATGTCAAGAAAATGATTTATAAACATAAAATTTATGCAAAAGATACATATAAAATGATGTGATAGTATTATTTTTATAATTTTAAACTATAATGATGGTTTTTTTCTTTGAAATGAAGAATAATATATCATCATATGCTGTATAATTTTTTTTTTTTATTTGTTAACTTTACCTATAAAATAATTATAAACATTTCTCTCTCTCTCTCAAGAGGGGATATGGTTTCATTCTTATATATAATTATAATATATAGTTACATATGTACCCCTCCTCTGTATGTGTGTGCAATATATTATTAAAAAAACAAAAGGCTCTCTTGAAAAGGGAAGAAAGAAAAGAAGAGATTAAAGGGCTTTCCGACCATTGGAATGGGGGTGATGTTAAGCAATGATTGTGTCTAAAGAAGGCATGCATGGTCAGCCCTTCTTAGCCAAATGAGAGTTGAACTTTCAAAATTAAACCCTCCCAAAAAGTGTTGTATTTTTTGTTGCAAGAAGAGACATATAGCCATTGAAATGTGTCGCTGACCACCCTAGTCCAAAGTGGAGATTTTCCCAAAATCATAATTTGGGATGGGGTGGAAAATTTTTTGGAAACTAATTATTTATGTTTATAAGCAAGACTAGGAACAACAAATGTATTATAAAATGATTTACCGTAAATGTAATGAGTAATTGAAATTAAATTCAATTATGATAAAATTTTCATTCAAAATAAATCTCAATTTATCCGTTCATTTTTTATGATTCATTAAGGGCCTGTTTGGTAATTATTTTGTTTTTAATTTTCAATTTATATTAATAAAAAATTTAAAAATTGTCATAAAAATTTGTTTGATAATTTTTTTAGTTTATAAATAGTTGTCTCAATTTGTAAATTTGAGAAAAAAAACATAAACTCAAAAAATGAGTTTATATTAGTTTTTAAACAGAAATTTAAAAATTTGACTAACAAAATTTTTTTTCAAATAATTTTTTTTTCAAACAACTACTTTTTTGTTTCAAATAATTTTTTTTCCAATTATAATGTGTATGATCCCATTGTCATAAATAATAAAAAAATAAATTCTAATATTTTAAACCTGAACAAACATATTTTTTAATTTATATTTTTAAAATTTTTCAAATATTTTGTTCAAACCAAACACGTTTGTAATTTATATTTTTTTAAATAAACAAAAACTAATTTATAAAATTTTTATAAACATAAATATTACCTACCGCTACCTAAGTGTTTTTATTCTGTGTTTGTAAATATTTCTCTATCCCAACTTTAGTTAATTTGGTGTGTTTGTCTGTGGCATGCTTGGGGCATCATCCTCATGGGCCATCCTCTTGTTACATCACCATGTGCATCATGATGATGATGTTCCACTTGTCAAGTACACACCGTGTTGACACACACCAATCCCTTTTCACATTAATTGCTATGATGATCAAACATATCCAGTTTGTTAGTACTATTTGATATAGATTTTGATTTTAATTTACAAGTTAAAAAAATTAAAAATTAATTATAAAAATATTGAGAGAATAATTCTTTTTAACTTATATTTTGTATTGTTAACTTTTTTTTCTTTTAAAAAAACAATTCACTTCTTGTCCCCTGCAAGCCCCTCTTGCAGGGGAGTTATCTTTATCCATATGCAGTTTATGTGGATTCTTCAAATTTCTATATATAGGACTGTTTTTTAAAGGCTTGTAAGATGTATATATAATTGTCATATATATACATATATATCAAAATTTCATAGGATAAACTAAACAGAAAGTCTAGAATCACCAAAAAAAAAAATAATAATAAAAAAAATAAAAAATAAAAAATTCACAGAACCAAACTGAACTAATAAAGATTGTGTATAGTTCTATGTGGTTATGTGATAACGAGCTAGACCATGCACAGCCTGTCGTCACATCATTTGCAATAATTTTGTTTTCTTTTTTAATGCTATGTTGGGTTTCTTGTGTAATTATAGGGAATTTTTTTTGGGTATATTTCTTGATGCAACAATGATTTAGACCATTAAAAAATACATCATTAATATCACTAATACATTGGGAATGGTAAAAAAAAAAAAAAAAAAACAAGGCATAGAAAGGGGACGGGACCCACTGCCACACCATTAGTGCTCCTTCTAGTACTTCTTTTTTAGTGCTCCAAAGCATTTTTCTTTCTTGATGTTTGTTATATTATCTGTTGCTTACGGGTGTGGCATGCATTAATTCCAAGAAACTAATATGATAAATGTCACATCAGATTATTATAAAAAAAATATTTATTTGTGTAGCATTATTTTGTAATCAAACCAATATTTTTTTTTAAAAAAATGAATATAGAGTTCCACCTCAAATATCCAATATCACCGCAAAAAACGGATATAAGATTATTACAATAGGGGTATGAACGTATATTTAGAAGTGTAAATTCTTATAATTTTAATTTATTTTTAATTTCTTAATATAATACATAATATTTTTAAAATTTTTAGGCGTTCAATTGGCCCTCGGCATCCCTTAGATCCATCCTTACCTGATCTTACCCATCAATAAAGAATTATCATGATTATTATGGAGTAGACGTCACGATTCAAATTCTATGACTATAACCAAAAAAAAAATCACATTTATTTACATATATATGCAATGACAGACATGCACAAACACAATACTCCTTAATTTAAGATTAGGACTTTTCTGTACGCGTTTGGGAAGCCTTGGCTCTGAAGTAATTGAATTTCCAACCACAAAAGTAGGATCCCAAATAAAACACTAAAAAAGCAAGAAGTTCATTAGATTTGGTCGGTATATTCTTCATTTCTCTATTCCAACCCAAGAATGAGCAAGGAATACATACAGAATAAAACACAAATGTGAGATAAAAAAATAGGCCATACATATGAATCCTATCTATGTAAGTATATGGAAAATTATTCAATACTCTCAGAGTACCACGTGCCCATACTCCAAATCAATCATCAATTACTTAGCTCCATGTTGTTCCCCCATCCCCAACATAAATTATGGGCCCTTACGCCTCTCCACCAATCAAAACCTTATAGAGCACCACATGTCCATACTCCGGGAGTACTGAATAATTACCCGTGAGTATACTACCTATGTGAGTTTTATATATTTATTTTACATTTGTATGTTATTTTGTAAAAAAATTACTATCTATTTTTAACACAAGTGGAGAGTGTCGTGTCCACTGGGAGAGATTGACTTGGAAGAAAAGTGCTTGAGTATGGATTGAACTTAGAAATATATGGAATTTGACTTGGACATAGTGTCCTTGTCAAGGAAGTGTCTCTCAACCCTTTAAAGTGGGATAAGTATTTTGTCTAATAGGTAAAGTACGAAAACGATTTTGTATGAACAAATGTAATTTGTGATTCATCTAAAACGATAAGCTCTCCTTCAAAAATTTTTATTATTAATTATATGATAGTAAGTTAATAAAATTAGATTATTATGATAGGCCAATATCACTCTATTGACTTAAATATTAGATCTCATTTTACTGACACCTAAATATCCTTCGTGATCACAGAAGATATAGCTCGGGTCTATTCAAAAAGTGTATTGACGTCTTATGAAATTATGAAATGTAAGATATACATCGGATTGTTTATTCAAAAAGCGTATTCTTGAGTTGTGTTTTATTTATACATCTTATCAAGTGTGAACAAAATTAAATTCGATAAACTATGATGGTGTACTCGGCTCTCTCACATGTATATTGAACCTACAACAAATATGAAGTTCACATGTATGTGTGAAAGAGAGAGAGAGAGAGATACATTATAGAATGTACTTGCTGCTAAAGTGGATGAACTATGAGCAACGCCCTAGATCATCACTCCAACAATATTACATACTAAGCCGCCGCCCCCTCCCTTCCCAAAAAAAAATTAAAATTTTAAATGTACGAATCATAGTCATCTTATGTGTGACCCATGTCTCATCACATTTAAATTTATATCATATATAGCAATTTTAATCGTGATACCAACAAAAAGGTCAATTCAATCCATTATCGGTGGACCATATGAAAAAATAAAGTAGTAATAATCCATTACTAGTGGTCCACTACACTGCTCGCTCATTTCATGCCAATGGGTGCATAGGCTGACTTAGTAATATATTGGGCTGAATATGGAAAGTTGTTTAGGTAATATGGACCTAATCTGCCCAGTATGGCCTGATAATTCGATCCTAAAATGATGTTAAAATCTCAAGTCGACCCAACAAGCCCATATATTAAATTATGAAATAAATATGACAAAATTATAGCTTACTGGACACAAATACTTAATATTTATCTATTAAATAAAATAGATAGGAGCCATATTTATCTATTACATCCTGCTTAGTGGTTGTATTTTCTTTCTTCAAGCACATTTTTTTTTATTGAAACAAACATAAAATAAAATAAATTATATATGTACTATACAAACTTATATATAAAAATACACATAATATATAATTTATTTAATATAAAATAATAATCCTGAAGAACTGGACTACAATTACTATTCCAAAGACCGTGCTTTTTAATAAATGGGCCCAAAAAAATCAGTCTATACATTTTAAGTTCTTAAAAAAATGGCTGATTTGGGTAGGTTACAGAAGGAAAAGTATATGAGATCATGTTCAAGTACAGTTCTCATTTTTTTTTTTTTTTTTTTTCTAATGTGGTATTAAGCAGCAATGTTACGTATTCAAAAAATTATCCATCAAAAATATTAGAGGATTGAGATATAATTTTTATTGCAAATTCCACTATACAAAATTGAATCTAGACCACACATTAACGGTTTGGATAAATTTATAGATAATTTTTCTTGTTTTGTAGTTTTTTTGGGGATCAAGTCTCATTGTCTCAGCATGGTATTTGTCAAACTTGGCTGCAATGTTCTCTCTGTGGCAAATCTAATCTTAATGGATGTTGATAACAAATTTTAAAAAGAATAACTTGTTATTTAATAACAAATCATATTAAAATTTAGGATATATTACTCTCATTTTCAAATAGTTGGAAGAAAATACAACTAGTTCCACACTTTTGGCTTTGAGCTCATTTCCAAATAACAAATGGGTTATAGCTTTAAGTCTTTTTCCATATTATAATAATTATTAAGCACTAATCAAAGATAAGTAAATGTGGTTATCATAGGATTATTGATCCAAATAACAAACTTATATCGTGTAGTTTCTTAAAAGCTACTAAGAGTTAATAATAAAAATGTAAAATTTAAAAGTATCAATTTTCCTGCTTCTCAATAATATTTTTTTTCAGCTTATTAATTTTTTTTTTTTTTTAAAAAAAAAGAAAAAAAGAAATGAGCCTATAAGTAGGCCCACAAACAGCACCAAACAAAGGCCAACAATTGATTCTGGCTTAAGCCTTTTTTTCATACTATAATAATTATCACGCACTAATAAAAGATAAGTTTCAATGCAATTTGTTCACATAGCACTTTTGCTATTAATTAAGCAATTGCTATGATTTCCACTGAGGATTGTATCTTTGACCAGATGAGTTTGTTTGTCTTTTGTTTTATAGGAATCTTTCTAATTGAGAGTGGGCTTAGATCAGCTTTCAGCATATTGCTTTCAATGATTAATTGTTGATGATTTGCATAAAGGCCACTTAAATAACAAGCCACATATATGAGTTGCATTTTGAAACCAAACATAAGAATGAATATTTTGATGGAATGATCATTTCATTCCATTCCAGTTAACCTAACACTCCCTTATGATTCTCCTGTTTCAGTGAAATTGGCACTCTGGTAATAGTATCTGTTGTAGAGGGACAAAAGTGACTTTGGGAGACAGTTTTGGTTATACATGTACATGGATCTATAAAAGGAGTGGAGGCTCAGAGCAAGGTTCTTGGCAAAGTTTCAGAACAAACATGGAAAATCAGAGGCTGTTCATCAACTTTGCATGCTATTACTATTGTTTTCTGGGTTGTCTATCATTATTGTTCAGTGGTTCTAATGCGATTGACTCACCACAATACACGGTGATACGATCAGAACTAGGTGTGGAGATCAGGCTCTACAAAGAATCCTCATGGATGTCTTCTGTGGTCTGTGGCGGCACTTCCTTCGAGACGTCCACCAAAGAAGGCTTTCATAGGTCTCCTCCTAATCCTCCTTACTATCACTCTGTTTCACTATACTCTTTTATTTTCTTCGCTCTACTTTCTCAGAAACCAAACAATGAAGAACCAAAGAAATTGGTTTGCTCACTGCAGGTTGTATCAATATCGTCATGGCGCTAACCTCAACTCTTCTCATCTATTGATGACTGCTCCTGTCCTAACAAGCATCACTAACCTATCATCACATGAATCTAACTACGTTGTGAGGTTCTATCTATCTTCAAAATATGACGGGAACGCCCTTCCACAGCCTTATCCTGAGCTGAATTTGGTGGTGGACAAATGGAGAAGCCACTGTGTGGCGGTTAGGAAGTTTTCAGGGTTTGCCAAGGACGATAACATTAATGGAGAAATGGAAGCTCTAGTGACCAGCTTAGATAAAATCTGGAGTGGAAAGACGGCAACTATAGAAGACGAGAGCACCTATACAATTGCCCAATACAATGCTTCATATCATCTTTCTGGGCGTTTAAACGAAGTGTGGATAAATGTCTCGGGTTTTACAGCAGATGGTTGTCCATCCTAATAAGGGCGGTCTTAGTTTGGCTGTGATTTGATGCGTATGAACCTCTAGCAAGGATGTGAAGATTTGGTTGTCTAAACACATCGTATTTCTCATTGTACTAATTCTCAGATATTTATGAATTTTCAGGTTCTTGGGTGTCCTACAGGTTGTTAGTAGGAAATGTTCTTCTCATGATCTACTAGGGTTTTGGTAGGGTAGCTACAAGTGTATTGAATACAATGTTTTAATTGTATTCCAGATACCTAACCACTGTCACACATTCTACCCGAAAAAAAAAGTATATTATAAACTTAATACATGATTATGCAATTAAGTGGAATTGAATTTCATTTTCTTTGGCAAAACAAGATGATGCTAATAAATACACCACAATACAGAGGTCTTTACATATTTAGCTCACCTCTCGTGTTGCTATTCAAGTTAACTTCTTTCTCTTCTACCACTCGTTTCTTTTTTATTCTGTTTCTCAATATTTTGTTATTTAGGTAACTTTTCCCTGATGAAAATACTTATATAATTAGGATACTATTTGGAGTCTTTGCATGGACAGCCTATATTCTTCTATTCCTAACCCTTCTCTTGTGAAAAAAACTAGAAGAGAAAGAAGCAGTATTACACCTGGGGTCTTGTCTGGACAACATAGATTTTCCCGTCTCTGACCACACCTTCAATGTCTTGAGGAGTTCCATACAGCTCCTCGATCGCACTACCAGCTTGAGCAATGTTGGAGAGGATTGATCGGCGAAAGTTAGCATCAGTCATCAATGGGTCAGATGAGTAATCAAGTACAACTCTTTCTTCTTCATCCATTGGTACACTAAAAAAAAAAAGTGAGCATTTAACATACTTTATAGCTTTGATGTGGAAGGAGAATAACAAGATCTACATTGCTGGTTACACAATTTTACCTATCATAAAGTCCTGCACCAGCATAACCTTCTAGATCTTCACCATTGGAATCAGATCCATTGGGATGATAGATCGTCTTATGAAAAGGCCAATGGGTTTGCTCGGGTAACCCAACACCTGAAAATGTACAAATTCATTAACAAAGAAGTTTAGATTCACTAAACAATAATACTCACTACTAAGAAGGACAAGTTTAGATTCACATGATTATTTCATAAAATCTAACAAGAATATCTCATTATGACATTAAAAAGTACTATTAAAAATTAACAAAAAGTATATTTCAATTCTTTGATATATTGAGTCTGAAACTATAAATATAATTACCCAGTCTGAGATCCATCACCATTCATGTTCATACAAACATAATCTTCACTAAGGAGAGATCAAAAGAAGCAGGGTTACATACCTGAGAAGAGTTCAGATCATTCTTCTTGCACATAAAACTCAAAGCACGACCTGGATAAGCTCCGACCAGAGTTTCTCCAAGGCCTTTCACCACCTGTGCCGAAAAGAAGACAGACGCAAACATTATTTGCTCTGCTGATCACTCCAATAAATATTCAATAAAGGAAAACATAAATTAGACTAAAAACCATCAAGTCTTAATCCCTATTACCTCGGCATATATCTCAGATGAGTCTCCGGAAGAGGGATTAGTAGTGTGGATGACAAATGCATAATCAGCATTTATTATTTCCTGAACCAGGACAGCCATGCAAAGATAGTCGTGATCTAATTTCACTTTTCTTGTGCTAAAGTATGCCCTCTCATTCCACTTTGAAGCCCAGACCTAAAACAATACAGACAAAGACATGGCAAGCATATTAAGGCTCCTTAGTGGGAGAATTGATGACCATAAAATTAAATTTACAAAATTTAGAGGGACTGTGAATTGCTATTTAACACAAGCCTCATTTTCCAATGACAACTGAAAAAAAATAAGTTTTGGGGGGAAGTCAAACTTGAAATTCATTAAATTCAAAATTTCATGCATAGGCCAATAAACATAAACCATTATACAGATATCTGTGACGGACCAGGTAACTGAGGCAATGCTTTAATATGCAAAGGACAATCCACCGGCTCTCAACATCTATTATAAGCAAGGAGGAGACATGTCATCATAGACTTCGGAAAATATCCTCAGTTTTAGAGAAAACCAAGAGAATGCTTTTTCATTAAGAAAGATTTGCAAGGCATGTAATTGTAGGTAATATGCTATAGTTCTATGCAGGGCAATCTAATCTTACTTTCTTTATAGCTGTCCATGCTTGCTCCCATCTCTGCTGGCCTTCATCACCAGGCCAAGGCATGCCAGAACTTTGCATCTTGTCTTTCAGCTCTTGCACCTGCCATAAGGTTTCAGCTTGAGTTGAACGAGATTCCACCATAGAGCTCCTACTCAATTTTTATTTATTTATTCTTGTAAGTAAGCAAATGCAACAGAATTGCTTCTTTAATAAAAATAAAACTAATTCTATAATATCTGATTCATGTTTACTATGACACAGAAGAATCAAAGATTAAACTTCAAAGCCAACCAAGAACGGAGCAGAATGCTAATACTATATTGCACACCTTTTTATCCTTTGTTATTAACAAAGGAAAATGGGCATCTCTTCTGCCCTACAAATTTTCTGAGGCTTATATATCCAGGGAAAAATTCCTAACTCCACATCTAGGGCTTGGAAGGACTTACCAACATAGATGGTGCTGCAAGCTCTAAAACTGTCTTACAGATCTCCCCAAGGGCACTGAAATCTCCTTCTGCTAACTTTTTCTTCAGTAACTCCAACTTTTCTGTCACTCCCTGTCAATTAAATGCAAGATGAGTTGTCACATCTCACAATTGAGGGAGGCCACCAACTTTTCCGTCACTACCCATTAAACTGATTCTTTCTTTTACAACTTGTTTTGCTGGAACAGCAATCTCAAACAAGGCCACCAATTTAGGACAAACGACAATGTACATTTATGGGATTGGAAATAAAGCAGTAGAAGTAATGACTGAAACAGTAGAAGTTATGACTGATATAATAGTGATGGGGAATGGAAAGGCGTGGATAAAGGAGAAATTAATCCCACGCCTTTCCATTCCCCATCAAGCAGATTATTGCAATTACAAACTACATCATAGATGCATGAAAACTTAAATTTTTGAGATTAGGAAAACCTGATTTAAGCCATTCGAAAGAACTTCCTCGAAAACTCCAAATGGTAGGGCAACTGAGGTAGGAATCCCAACCCAAGATGGCACTTTTCCTTTTAGATATGCTATATTACGTGATTTAGCTCCAACCTATGCAAATCAATGCTCTGTAAGTTACACATACTGAAAATAGATCTGATTTGAAACTCATACAGCAATGCATCAATTCTCAATTTATATATTTCTGTTAACAACAATAGGAGAAAGGGAAAAGAGAGAATTCCTCAAATATAAATGAAGCTTGACGTTGCAATCCTAACCATTTCACTTGTGAACTCCTCGGATGATATGGCATATTTACCACCAAACTGCTTTCTGACGAATGATACAGATGGTAAAGGGCCTTCTTCTTTCAAGTTAGTTGCACTTGCACTTGTTAAGTCACCCTCCACCTTGCTGAGGTTAAGCACAAGACAAAAAAGAAGATTAACTGTATATAATATTGTGTAATTGTGTAATTTTTAATTTTTAGTTGGAGCAATGAGTTTTTTAATTGTAGATAATATGAAAAGTTAAAAAAAGAGAATTTCATCATGCACATCATAGGACAGATGGCAAAAAATATCCAGCAATACTTTAGATAGATAATCTTACCTATAAAGTACATCTGCAGTAGTAGGTTTTAGTTGCAATAACTTCCCTTCATTTGCTTGGAGGTCAGCCAAAATATTGGGATCAAAGCATGTAGCAAAGCAGACCTGCCAAAGGGCAAACCCTAAAAAAGGGCAAAAAAAAAAAAAAAAAAATCACAAATGTCACACATTACATTACAGTCGCTCATTTCAACAATTACCCATCAAGAATACAAAAAATAATAATATAATAAAAATAATAAAAAGATTGCAGAATGATAGAATTACCTTGCCATTTCTTGCTCTCACAGAAACATGAGATAGGACATCTGGCATGTCAGGTGTCAGCACAGCAACTGTACCATCAGGAATTTCCTCCTCTCCCCTTACAGATTTTGCCACCAAAATTGTTGGCTGTTCATAAGATTTATTCTGGACAGCAAGCAACTCATCTACAACAACTACATATCCAATAGCTTCAACCGGGCTGATAACTTGCCAACTGTATCAGGCAAGACTAAGTTAATTAGTATCATTGTACATACCTGTGTTTGGGCCTCATAATATAGATTATGACATGCTTGAGCTTCGTAATATAACACTATAATCTAAAGCTGAATTTTTCACGGACTAGAATTAATCAGAACCTATTTCAATGTCGTATATATTCAAATAAATGAGTATAAGAACAATAACAGTTGGATCAACCTTCCCAAATTAGCAGTTTCACGAAGAATAGGATCAAGTCGATTAACAAGAGAGGATAGTGAAGCAGCTGACCCAGCACGAATGATTTCTTCTGTGAATATATTTACCTGCATTAAGTGATTGTACAGGTTGAATAAAGATATTATATACAGCACAATAAAGAAGTTAATAATTCTGAGGTTGTAGCACAATCAACATACAGCCCATTGATCCACTCCAAGCAGTGATCCGAGATATTCAGCAGAAGGTTGCAATAGATGATGGTACCACTCTGCCTTGCTTGTAAGTGCAAGTCGGGTTCTGTCAAGGACTGATTTTGCATATAATGCCCAGTGACTATCTCCATTGTTTGACATGTTTAGAGCTTCATTCCATCCCTTCACAAGGAGCAAAAGAAATATTAGATTATTACAATGTTTCAGCATCTAGCATAAAACAATGATGTAGATAACCTATGTTTGTCTGATTTCAAGAGCAACCATTTACAAAAATCACCGTTTTCTACTATTTCCTTTCATGCTTTCTGTGTTATAAAAATGATATGAGCTGATTCTAATGAGTAATGATTAAAATTTTCTAATTGAGCCTGTGTAATTTTAAATCTTAGGCAGACAATTGAAACCATAGGTTAGTCACTTCAAGTGGCTTAGGTCAAACCAGGTTGATCCAGGAAAGGTGGAGCAATTGAATATAACTAAAAACACAGGAAATTTACTTGTGACAAGCGAGACATGTCTAACTCAAAACAAATTAAAAATGAACGTTAAAATTACAATTCTATCCCATGCATGCAACTTGGTCAAATACTGGTCATCGATACCTCTTATCTTATAAAATTTGAAGATTGAAAACTGCACAGTGCTTATTTCATGTTGATGAATCATATGAGATATATAAGAAAGTGCTTTTTAAAAGTATCAGAAATCTGTTGTGCTGAAATCAATTGGTACATATAGAAATTCTGCATGCCATGAAGTATAAGATTTTGTCCAACATGTATTCATTATATAGACCGGTCTGAACACCATTGATGAAGACGATGAAGTGTTGGTACTACTGCCTCTTGTTTCATGTTCTGTAGTGGTCTAATAAGGTTCTTTAGAATCAATGTGCCAACTAAAGAATGAGCAAACAATTCAAATAATTTAATTGAGTCACTGATTACCTTTAAGCAATAGATGATATCCTCATTAGCATCCAAAGAAAGTGCAAGGTTTTCAAGCACAAGAGAGATGAAGTACATAATTTTCTGCAAATACATGAATAGGCTATCAAGAACATACTTCGGACAATGAAACTCAAGCGACACACAAGAGAAGTGAGAGACCTTCGGTCAAGAGAAAAGAGTGGAAAAATGGATAATGAAAATATACAGATGCAGACATGCTGACAAGTGGATTTACCTCTGGTTTAGCACTATTCAACTCCTCATATCCCCTTTCAATGGCTGTCCTAACGGTAGAATCAAGGGCAATGTCCAAAAATAAAAGATCCTTAAGACGATCATTCGATTTAGAAAGCAATGGCCTAAGATCCTCACGGGCCTCTAGCAATCCCTGAATATAAGATTTTTAATAAAAATAACTCTTAAAGGCACAAATTTAGAGTGTAAACACAAAGCAGGGGAAAAAACAGAAGTCTACAAAAAAACAATTTCACATACCTCAAGAAGGGCTTCCACATTCTTATCCTCGACATGTTCTAGGACAAAATGAAGCAATTCCTGTTTAAAGGATTTGTCAAATTCACATGGTACAGATTTACAATTTTGTCACACAGGTGACATCCACATCACGAAGATTGCTTATGAAGAGCAGTACCGGAAATCCAGATGGAAAGCCTGATATGGGATTGATCTCCACCCCAACCATGAAGCCTTGTCCCTAAATAAAATTTTTGTTTTTATCAAATTATCAAGGGAAGACATCATGTTGAGCAACACCACCTAGTTTTTGGCAATACCTTAGAACTGTAGCCCATGCAATTTGAAATAGCAGACTCCAAATCTGCACTTGAATGAACTGCCTACATAGTAGATTACATGAGACTACAATCACCAACTTGTCATTTATAGCAACATAAATTAATTGGGCAAGCAATAGAAGATGATCCTCTAAACATAAAAAACATCTGAATGATTAGGCTAGAGTTTTTCTTTTATTTTTTTTAAAGGAAATTCCTCATGAACAGTTTCATTTTGATGAGGATTCGTGCACACATATTTGCTGTTACATTTCCTCTCATGCATCATCACTCTTAATTCACATCAACAGCTTCTGGATGCAAACTATCAGTAAGAAGTAAATGCATATATCCATGCACAGTTTGGATAGTTTCATGTTATATGCTTTAGAACCTCTACCGTGGTTTGAAGCATAAGTAGAATGCCATATTTCAAAATTCCGGAGATAAAATCATATTTTGAGCAGTCATTTTGTCATTTTGATTTCACTTATCACCATATAGTTCTCATGTCATACAGAGATGTCTGTGCAAACTTGACAAAAATTGAAGCATTAACAGAAAGTTTAAGGAGTCAACCTTCAATGTTCTCATGTAATTCCTTAGATCTCTCAAAAGGCCATCTTTCTGATCCCTTCTGAAATTTGGTTCAGAACGGATTGCACGGTCATAACTTAGAAGGCGTTCTTTTGTTATTCCATTATCATTCAAGGTTTTCCAATAAATGCTGACATCAAAGTCATTATTGATATAATCAATTAGTGCCTGCAATAACATTCAATGTCACAAACTCTATAATATTGACAAAAGAAGAAGTCCACCCAAATTTCATTCCCATACCTGACAGATCACAACATCATCAGGGCTTGTGTTATTATGTAGCTTCTGATGCCATTGTTCCATTATTCCACCCTTGCAATCATTATTTCTCTGCAATAAACAGAAAGTTATTCTTATAACTACAATGTTCATTCACCCTCAAAGAGAAAAAATGAGAGCTCAGTTTTTTTTTTTTAATGCTGGACAATACAGGAGAGGTCTTTTTTTACCTGGATAACCAGGATTTCGTCTCGGATTCGCTGCCCCACATCCCCTTCACCTCCACGACCAACACTTGACATAACCATTCGCAAAAGTTCCTGATACTGAGGATGACTTTTATAAACATTCTGGAGCAAGTCTGTAAGCCTATCCTGAGCTTTACTTATTTCACTGCACGGATGGGGCACAAAAAGAACAGCCCCATTTAGAGAATGATCACACATATGGAGAAGCTTACAACTTGTTCAAAGAAGATAATTATAAAGTTAACCACATAATATTTCACAAAGTAAGATTTCCCAGTATAGTGATTCCTGGGAAATCTAGAATTGGTCAGCAGTTCATTTAGTGAACCAGTAACAAATTGAAAGGACGTCTAAAAGCTGTAGGAATCAAGGGGAAAAAAATATTGAAGATTTCAAATGCGTGAGGCAACTATCCTGAGTAATACCGTGGCTTTACGTTGTAGTTTTTATTCCATATGAGCTGCCGTGTAGCCACAAACCTCAACCACACAAGAATTCCGGCAAAACCCAGTTTGCCAGCATCTTTGGCTTCATCTACCAAGTTGGCTGCAATATTAAATCTGAGAAGAAGAATATCAGTTATAACTTCAATAACAACGAACCAAATTAGAACCCTAACAAACAAACGTAGCAAACAAACCAATAACATTAGTTAAGATAGAGTTTCATCTTATGAGTTATGACAGGTTATATATCTCTACTGGACAGAGATTTCATCATGAGCCTCAAAATCAGGATGAGCTACGACCATAAATTACCTGAAAGATGACACTAGGAACATAATACATACTGTATAGACTCAAATCAGATGAAAGCATTTTATTAACTACCCTAATGATTTGGGCTCCTACAGCGAGCATTTATCAGACAGATATGTTGAACCACATTAAAACTCTGAAAGAGTAATGTGTGAGGACGAAAAAGTCTGAAACTGAAGACGACCAAAATAAGGCTCACAACACAAAGACACATGATGTGCATATTTACAGAAAATATGTGCAAAAAACACAACATAAAAAATTAAACTCTAACAAGTCAACTCAAAACCCTCCTTTCCTGAACCCTGCACATAAATATGTGAAATAGCAAAATATTAAACTAGAATAGGCATATAAATTACCAAATCTTACTCAACTAGCTTAATTCCAAATGCAATGCTTAGAATAAAGATACACAGAATATGCATATGGACAGAGAAGATGTGAAAAAGGACAACATAAAAGGTTCAAATCTATTAGTTCAAGCGCAAACCCTCCTTTCCTGAAGTCTACTACTGTACTGGAAATTAATCCTCACATATAGTTTACCTAAGATACCAGAAGGCAACGTAAATTTAACCAAATGTGAAATAGCAAAACATGAAACTTTAAGTAGGCAAGTAAATGGTTCAAAGTCTCTGTCCCACAGAAAGCTGTGTGTGCACGGATGTGTGAGAAAGAAAGAAGGGAGGAGGGAACTAAATGCTAAAGCAAAAGTAGCCTGACATTACTGACCGATGCATGAAGGACTTCTGTGCCTCACTTTCCATATTGGCTATTTTATCTAACAAAGCCTTTGCAGTACCTTGGCCATCACCAGCATCCTTTTAAATGGAACAATGCCTAGTCAGTATGTCTGGAAAGTGATGTGGGATGAAGAAGAATAAGACGAAAACTAAAACACCTAGATAAACAATACCAAGAAACCCTCCTCAGAAAACCAAACAGAGAGCAACCTTTTGGACCTGCTTCGCTCCACCACCAAATTCAACATAAAAGTCGGAACCGTTATTCTTTATCCAGTTTCCATCAGACAATAGAACAAATGGCATCCCCATGAAACTGTCATCTTCAATTTCTATTTCTAAGGATTGGACCTGAAAATTGAATTGGGTATATGAGTTTGCTGTCCATAAATCTCATTGTCTATTAATTCTTGCATGAATTTAACAGATATATAGCAGTGGTATTTAGGCATAAAAAATAAAATCAAATATCTGTTGGCGCACCTTGGAAGCTGGATCATTAGAACTGCTTGTCAATTGTGTTTCGCTGGATTTGTCCAGGGAAGTTGAACCGGGGGGTAATAAACTTGCAGGTGGTGCCTGCAAAACATCCATACGTCTGTACAGTCAAATTCACAGAAAGGTAGCACACGTGGTGTAAAGTACAAAATGTTATTTAACCACTCAAACAAGCTGTGATGTGGGATAACAATGTTCATGATTAACCAATTCGTATATTCTTTTTTTTTTTTTTGGGGGCTACCACCATTGGGGGGGGCGCTTGAATAATAAATTCCTATATCTTACCAGCCATTCTCCAGGGTTTTTTGACAAAGCCCAGTGAAGTGTAACTGACTCCGTGATATCTGTGGCCAAAAGAACTTTTGTCTTACCAGCAGGCTTCATTACCAACACCTTGAAAATGTACGAAGCGTCTCACTATTAGAAATACTCCAGCAACAAAAGTTTACTAAGGAGAACATCAATAGCACATCATCATCTCACCAGAAGTTAATTTTTAACCACAAAAAAAAAAAAAAAAAGACCTCACCAGAAGTTCCTTATCAGCAAGCCGGAATATTTTCTTGTCTATAATAGAATCACTGCTTTGTTCTTCCTTGCCCTTAGCAAAAAGCTGGATTGTGGATAAGGCTTTTGGTTTGACAGAGATCTTTTCCTCCACATATCCACGTTCAGCTACATACTTATTGAGAAGCTGCATTAAATCCCTCTTCTTGCGCTGAATCCTTTGAACAGTAGAGTACTTTCTTTCTAGTTGCTTTGAAACCTTAGTTTGTTTTTCTCCTTTCGTAATCTTCTTCCTTATTTCATCGAGAGAAGTACCTTTCTGTAGTTCAATTTGCAACTCTTTTCTAGCTTCTTCAAATTCTTTCTGGTAATATAACATTAATCAAAATTCAATATAAGCAGTGACTTGGAGACCCCTTATTAATCATACAAAGGACTAAATGAATACCCAGTTCATGCTCATCTAACACACTACTGGAAATAAATAAACGATCTACATTTAGTTGTACAACTACTATTTTAACATAAAATAAACATAATCTTTCCCACTAGCATTGCAAATTAGTTGTAGAACTATTATTGTGGGATCACAAAAGAAAAGTCTCATAAAAAAATAAAAAATCTAGCCTGACTCTAAAATCCCCCATCATGTAATTCTGGTGGTTCTCACCTCTTCAAGCAATTCTGAGTTTCATTGCAATAGTGAAAAAATAAACCACCTATTCTGCTATCATCTCTGACATTCTAATAGAAGATGATAAAGATAAAGAGGATGGTTAACATGTTGAAACAATCAGTCAGTACCAGATTTTTCCCATTAATGATCCCAACACTAGCATAACTCTGTCGATTGTCAATAAATGTCTCCAACACCCTAAAGACGTCCCTCATCAGAATTAGTCTACAGGGTAGAGTTCACAATAAGAGGACCATACTTTTTTCACAGTTCTCTAAGTTTTTTAAAAGGACTTAACTAGGAGACCTTTGCAGCCATCATAAAACTAAATGCCTCTATCTTTACCAAAAAGAAAATACAAAATATTATCAGCTTTCTTCATTACAATGAGGGCCTATAGAACAAATCTAGTTTGCACGTGCTTCTCCTTCTTGTTTATGACAAAAATTCTACTGCCTTTACATCATGATTGCTATTGAGAATTGCAACATTTCCAAATATCCAATATTTTTCATTTGCCTTGTGCTAACTATTTTCAACGACTACATTGTCATAAACAAAATCACTAGAGGAGCAACTGTCATTAGCACAACTATATGACCTTCCAAATGGTTGCCGCTTTTGGAAGAAAAGAAAAAACGCATAATTGAATACAAAGTCTTAGCGCTAAGAATAGTCTGAGTTAATCCATTCATAGACCAGCGTTAGTTACTTGCCTTCTCTTCCTCAGCACTATACACCTGTTTACCCTTCCTCTCCCACCTCAAATACGCTTGTATCTGTACAAGATCTTCAGGAACTGAAATATTTGGAATTAACTTGTATGTCAGTGGAACATGAAAGTTGCCACCGTCATTTTTGAACCTACCAATAAAAGAATTAAGAAAAATTAAAGAAATTAAATAGGTAAATTTTGTGGGTATAGATTACACGGAAGCTACAAAGCTAGCAAATTATAGACTAATGGAGATTTACCATTTGTTCTGTTCTTCCTCAACTATAAGAAACTCTATAGCTTGTATTGTCGGATCATCAATCTCTATGTTCAAGAAGGAATTGGAGCCAGACTACAAAGAAAGCGATGAATAATAATAAGTGAGCATCTAGTTGTAGACTTAGGTAAGTCAAAAAGAGGTCACCAATATTCAGTATATGGAAAGACACTCCATGAATTTGAATTTCTACCACCATTCAGTAACTTACTTTCACAAAAGGAGTTCTAAGAGCTCTGTTCTTATACATCCAAGTTCCCTCAGGAGAACGAGAAGGAAGTACCCACTTCCTGAAAAAATGACAAAAGTAACAGAAAACATTTTAATGCTATAGCTCAAAACTTGAATCAAAGCAAATCATTATATTGACAAGTGTACTTACTCTTTTCCATTTTGTATCCCACCCCAGTGAAGAACTAAGGTGCCATTAGTATTAGTGACCTGCATATCTATTTCTGATATAGAACCTGAAGTAGGAGCACTAACAACCACCTGTTCAATTGGATAGGATACGAGAATCTCATGTTGAATACATTATCTATCGGAAAGATTTAGGTATTTGAATTCATCTATGCCCAACAAAATTTCTGGGGTCAATTACAAATGCAAAAGCCTATGGTGTTAATACCTGTAATTCCGTATTTCCATCAAGGTTGAACTTTCCTGTAAGTTGCTACAATGAAAGAAATAGTCAAAATCAAGTGACATCCAAACCAGTAACTCAAATCATCGTTTGTAATATCTGTCATTGCTCCACATTGAAAGTTTTTCAACCAAAATGGATAAAACCCAAAAGCTGATTCCAAAAGTTATTCAATGGGCAAATTAAAATGGTAGTCCTGTACTTTGTTCCTTCATGTGTCATTTTACTCCCTATAATTTCAATTGACTTGATTTTAACCATAATTTATCACTCTGTCTCAATTTGGTTCAATATTTTTTTTTTTTTATTTTTCATATGAAAAATGAACAAATAAGTGGCATGTGGGAAAAATTATAAACTTGAGTTAAAAATACTAACGAGATAATCAACTGGACCAATAAATTCATTCAATTGAACACAATGACGTAAACAGTGTAAAGAACAAATAAATAAATAAATAAAATAGAGGTTAGAAATTGATAGTATACCTTAGAAGCTGGATCGGTGGGTAACACAGACTGAGGAAAAAGGGAAAGCACTCGATTTGTTCCCGTCGGCAACTTCGTTTTCGGCAAATTCAGACTTTTTCCCCAGAATTTGGAAGTTATACGCGACTTTCGAATCTGTGAATTTGCCTGAACTTGAAACAAATTGTAACCAGAAATGCAAGAGGAATTGATGTTACTTTGATGCTCTAGCACCGCTGGAGCAAGCAAATTCTGGTGAATCAAGTTATGGCCTATCGAATTGCTCATATTCTTCAGATTATCAAAGCTCGAATCTGAATCAATATCACGAATCAGAATACATACAAAAGTATATATGAAACTATATACAGTTAAATGTACTTAAATAATCATTTTGAAACAGTTCAAAAATCTGTTGAATTGATGAAACTACTGACCTTGAAACTATATGTAAATATAGATATAGATATAGATATAGATATAGAGAGAAAGAAACACAAATGAATTCTAGAGACCGGGGGGGGCGGTGTGTTTGGGGGATGCTCTCACTCTGCTCAGTGGTGAAAAACTAGAAATGGAAAGCGAAGCAAGGGAAAATGGCGCTTTACCAGAGAGTGTGGAAAGGAAAAAAAAAACCGTAAATATAAACATACATATCGCATTGTATATATGGATGAGTAATGGAAGAGATCGTGAAAAAAAAATATGACGAAGATAATTATGAAAGGTTTTTTATTTTTAAATTATATATATAATAAAACATCACATATTAATTCAAAGATGAATTTTTTTATAATATATTTAATAATTTTTTTTTTTGATAATGACTAGTATCTATATAATAAAGTAGGATAATTTTTAAATTTATCTTACTCACATTTGTCCTAGGACATTTGCACGATTCAGATCTATTTAAATTATAAAATAACGGTTGAGATATATTTTTTAATTAATATCCTACATGTACATTCTATATTTTACCGCTTTTCTCTCTTACTTTTTTTTCTTTTCTTACCCATCCTTATATGATCCCATGATTCCACTTTCCTCTTTCTTTTCTTTTTTATTTTTTTTTATTTTCTCCTATTTTTATTCTTCTCCCTATTTGTTTTTTTTTTCTTCATTTTTTTCACTTATTTTTATTCATGTTATATGAAAAAGTCTGCGATCTCAGAATTAGGGGCTAGATTTTACTGTGTGTAGTGGAGATTATATTAATAAATTTTTTAGTCTACAAATTAAATGAATTTGAATAATTAATTATTATTTTTAAATATATTGAATACCTGATAGATTTCGTAAATTTAGATCTCATATGAATGTTCAACATCTATATAATAAAACAGAATGGTTTGTAAATTTGTCCTACACACATTTGTCTTATTAGGACATTTGGACGGCTCAAATCTATCTAAATTATAAAACAACGACTCACATTTGTCTTACTAGAACATTTGCACGGTTCAGATCTATTTAAATTATAAAATAACGGCTGAGATATATTTTTCAAATAATATCCTACATGTATATTTTTGTATTTTTCCGCTTTTCTCTCTTACTTTTTTTCTTTTCTCACCCATCCTTCTATGATCCCATGATTCCACTTTCCTCTTTCTTTTATTTTTTATTTTTTTTTATTTTCTCCTATTTTTATTCTTCTTCCTATTTGTTTTTTTTTTCTTCATTTTTTTCACTTATTTTTATTCATATTATATGAAAAAGTCTGCGATCCCAGAATTAGGGGCTAGATTTTACTGTGTGTAATAAAGATTATATTAATGAATATTTTAGTCTACAAATTAAATGAATTTGAACAATAAATTATTATTTTTAAATATATTGAATACCTGATAGATTTCGTAAATTTAGATCTCATATGAATCTTCAACATCTATATAATAAAACAGAATGGTTTGTGAATTTGTCTTGCACATATTTGTCTTACTAGGACATTTGGACGGCTCAAATCTATTCAAATTATAAAACAAGAGCTGCGATATATTTTTCAAAAAATGTCCTATATGTACATTTTCTATTTTCTTGTTTCTCTCTTTTACTTTTTCTTTTTCTCACCCATCTTTCCATGATCCCATAATCCCACATTTCTCCATCTTCTCATTTTATTTTTTTATTTTATCTCATTTTTATTTTTCTCTCTATTTGTTTATTTTTCTATTTTCTTCTTTTTATTCAATATATTTTATACATATTTTCATACATTGTATATATATTTTCTCCATATTTTCATACATTTTTATAATTTTCATATAATTATATAAGTAAAAGCAATATTGTCTGTATGTTCGTAGAAATTTTATGTATGCCAGACACATTTATCTATCTATCTAGTTATATATTGTATAAGCCAAAACGAATTTTTGTAAAAAATTTTATGAGGACTACAAAATTTTATAATAAATTTATAATGAGCTTATAGAATTTCTCTCTTTTAATGTTTTGTTTAGTTTGATACAAGTTATTTATGTTATTAAGTGATTATGATACTATTATTCTCAATAGTTTTTATAATTAATAATTTCTTATGCATATCAAATTTTATTGTGAAATTTTGTGAATTAATTATTGTTAACATCTACCCATATGGCTTAATATCATGGTTTGTCGCTATTATGATATTATTTAAGATTAAAATAATTTATTTACCACACAAAATATAAATAATCTATTTTTCCGTGCATCGCACGAGTTACCGCTAGTCCTATATGGAGCGATTGTTTTGCACGTCACTAAAATTTATTTTAGAATTCAAAAAAACTCGATCTTTTTTCATAAGAAAATTTTTGGGATGCGTGTCACGATTCTATACGGCCACGTAAACTACGAGATGCAAAATTGGGAATGCAAACTTTGCCACGTGCGAGAGGAGGAAAGCGTGGGATCGTATTTGTTGCTGATACTATATGACATAAGGGAAATTCTATGTCGGTAGAAGTATTAAAATATAACTTTTAGATAAAAAATAATTGTTTGAATATAAAATTTTAAATGTATATTTGAATAATTTTTTTTATTCAATAGTTTATGTCTAAATAAATTTTTTTTTTTTGGGAAAATTTATATGTGAAAGACTTAAATACTGTGTAATGAGATTTTCTACAATGTAAAATTAGAATTATCCATATTTAAATTATTGGTATATAAATGCCTTACATAGGGATGATTATTTAATATTTCCGGAATATGAACATGTAGTACTCTATAAAGTTTTAATTGGTAAAAAAAGGTAGAAACTTACGATATATATTGGAAATGAAAGAACAATATCAGACTAAATAATTAACTTAAAATATGATTATGAGGACATATTTTTTGAATGACAATATGTGGCCAGTGTGGCACTGAAGTGCCAGCCGAGGTGCCACGTGTCCTAGTCATGATCTGCGAAGCTACCGGAATCCGAGATGAACGAATAAGGGACAAGAGTCCTAGAATGGGAGATGACTTCAGTTTGGATAAAGATAAGACTGTTAAAGAGTTTATTCCAATCTAACTAGGAGTTTAAGATTAGATTTGAGCCAGAGTCCATTGAAGTTAAGCTTCTATTGGGATTTGGTCAGTGTTGGCTATAAAAGAGAGACACCCTGAGTTTAAGGTACGCTTTTTGTATGGCTATAAAAGAGAGACACCCTCGTGAGCTTAAGATATGCTTTTTGTATTCTGAATAGTACGTTAAGTACTTTTGCTATCTTTAAGAAATAATGACTTGATCGTCGGAGTGCCTTCGGGTGGACGAATCACCGCTGGATTCTTTTCTTTTCTGTGACAGGTTGTTCGGCCTTAATCTATTCTACCGGTGTTCTCCAGCTGAGTACATGTTTAACAGTATGATCGAAAATTGACACACACAATGATTATATAATATTCTAAAATTATTGAATAATTTCCCGTTGCACAGACGGAAATTTATTTTTAATAATAGCCCTGTGCTTGTTTTGTATATTTTCTGTTGGATCAAGATTTTGCATGCAAGTTGGAGAAAAAACATGCGGTGGTCACTCTCATCCTCAAGTCTTTGTCAGTGGAATTTTTAAATTTTAATGCATTCATGAAAAATGTTATGATTTTCATTTTAATATTTATAAAGTTTATTATTAATTTAAAAATATTTTTCTAAATTTACACTGAAATAAAATTACCCCTTAGTTTTTTTGTTTTTTTTTCCCCTAATTTAACTATTTTCCTAGATAATTCAGTTCAAGTGTTTTTTTAAATTTTTTTATTTTTTTTTATCCCCCTTTCAATTGACAATGATAATTCCTCCTTCACACGAAAAAAAATCCAATGTGGTAACCTCGTTTGGCAACGATGTTAAAGTTGATTTTTATGAGTTTTTTTTTCTTTTTTGGTGATTTTTTTAAAAATTAACTTTTAGATATTTCTAGAGTAAGAGTTTAAAAATAAAAAAAAAATTGAATCAAACTTTGACAAAGATCCACTAAAAACAATATTTATTTATTTATTTATTTATTTCAAATTTGATCCATTTTAATATATATATTTTTATTATTTTCTAAATACTTCTAGACATCATATATATATGATGTCTAGAAATACTTAAAAAATAAAAATTAATAAATATAAAAAATAATTCACTAAAAATGAAGAAGAAAAAATCCAAAGAGTCGCTGTCCAACGAAGGTTCAAGTTGACATAGAAGGCATTGTTTATTAAGAGTTGGTTCTTCAATTTGTGCTTGGTAGGACAACTATTGGTATACTGTCCAGATGAATTCAATGAGGTTTGTATGCGACTTTGTAAGACATCGTGGAAAGATCATAAAAGCAAGACAAAGTCCAAGTATTGGGTTCCATTCAAGAATGATCCGGACATTGCTTCTACAGTACCTAGTAACATAGTGCCAACCCAGTGGAGGAAACTTGTACAATATTGGGCGAGTAAAGAAGTGCAGGTATATGTATTCTTTATAAAATTTTAATTAATGTTTTAATGATAAATAATTAATGTTTGATATTCTAACCAATGTTATAGGCGATTGCTAAGAAGAATTCTTCTAATCGGGGATTTCGTGGGCCTCCACATACGACCGGAAGGACATCTTTCTCAGATATTCGTTTCAATGTATTGATCTTGTGGTTGCACCTAAGGCATCATCTGTGACTACAATTGTTGCTGTAGTTGCAGCCGCAGCCGCACCTAGTGCACTTGGTGTGACACTTGTGGCTGCAGTTGTGGCTGCACCTAGTGCTGCATTTTTGACTTATTATGTTGTGAAGACTTAAGCTCCTAACTTGAAAAAAAATGTAGATGACACATAAAGGAGAGCGAATAGATAAGATGAGTCTTTGGAAGAGGACACACAACCTGAATGATCCTGATGTGGTGGCAATTGTGGTATGTCTATGGTTTACATGTTTTTACACATATTTTGCTTTTTACCAAACATTGTCCTTATGTTTTCAAAATGTAGGAGGAATATAATGCGCATCTTTGGAAAGTTCCTAAGGAGCAACATACGATTGAGTATTGCGATGGGATTTACCATAAAATCCTTGGGAAGGATGGACATGGGTATTGCAAGACCTATGGGAGAGGAGTGCCCTAGAGTGCGGTGTATGCGCGAGGAAGCGGCCCATCCCAATCATTAGCAGCCCCTTCATTTATTGATGAGATCACACAGCGTGTGACACAAGACGTTGAGTCTAGGTTCATTACGATGATCAAGAACCTAACGGCACGTGTTTTGTTCTTAGAGTCACAGGGTGTGGCTGGGAGTATGAGCTTGAGAGAGGTGCAATACTTACAAATTGACGAATTTTACGTTTTATCAATTTGTATATATACATATGGAAATTATTAACACATTATACTAACATATTGTAGGTGTCAGATGCATCTAGTGGGCAGCAAGCTTCAAAAGAAAATGAATAGGTATGCATTTCTCTGGGTATTACCTCTAGTTGTTATACCCAAAATGTACTGGTAAAGGATCCCTTGTATATTGGAGCATGAATCTTTAATATTTAATCCCTGGTAAAGAAACATCATTTAGACTGTTGTTCCTTGGTTTTGACTCTTTTGAGTAGTGGTTGTGGAGTTCAGAAGAACTTTTTGCAGAGTACATAGAGGGTGTGTTACTTCAATATGTTCATAGTTTTCTTACCGGATGTTATGGGGAAGTTTTGCTCATTGTTGTATGTTCCATAAGCCTAATGTTTCTTCTATGTTGTGAATCTTTGAGATGCATTCCCCATGTCATAGAAAAAGTATAGAGACTGACTGAGAGACTTTCTACTGACTCTACTCCAATGGCTTGGTTTATTTCTCTACTGTGAGTTTAGTTTAGGGCTACAGGCTAATGTAATAGTCTGTCCTCAAATATTAAGCCTTGACAGGGCAGTCAATCAATGAGGAATATAAGAGAAAGCCGCAATAAACAAAGAGCTCAAAGAAGGGATGATTTGGATTCGTGGTGTCATGCACTGTGACCCAATCAAAGTCCCTATCATTTGGATGAAAAGAGGATATGGTGTGCATCCTGCTTATTGTCTGGAGTTTGGGTTGAGCTTTTCTCCCTTCTTGACAAGGGATTTAGGAAAAGTTAGATATGAATTTGTTTTGTTATTAGGAATGAAAAATCCAATTTTATATCTATGAACTTATATTACACCTGAAATGAATAATTAAGAATATACCTGCTAACCAAACATGAGATTGTGAATTGTCATTCCATTCTTACATGATTCCATCTTGGCAACCAAATAGTATAACGAGAATGGACATTCCATTCCATTCAACCTTATATTTCATTCATGTATTTTTAAGAACTGCATAAAGTCTTCTTTAGTTAACACATGAGATGTGTAATTGACATGTTAAATCTGTGGCTCACACACACACAAAGAGGATAAATCAAATCCTCATCAGTGTATTTTGCGATTATCAGCCGTGATTCTTTTCAAAAGTTGTAGGTAGGCAACGATCTGTACTTGATATATCATTCTATCTGTATACGATTGTGTGCATTGAACTTTCCTATTTTTATTCCTTTCACCTCAATCTTCAATTTCAATTTTTTTAGGGGAATTCAAACTCATCCACGGCCAGCCTCTCATGTTGAGGATTCTTGATTATATGTTTGTGAATGTCATTGTTTTCAAAAATGTTTTGGGTTAATGATAGCTTGCAGCTTTGATGAGTCTTTGACATATGATTTCATTTTCAAGTTCCTTGCATGTGTGTGTGTGTGTGTGTGTGTGGAGAGCTAGAAAATGAAAATTCTATCTTTTGTTTAGTCATTGTTGTCTTCTGTTGAAAGGGTAAGGAATGCCTATACATCTCTCAGGTCCATACTTGGAGATGGAAAAGTTTAGCATTCTGGGTTACATGTGTTTTCATTTCCTTTGGAGATGGTGAAGATTAGCATTCCACATGCTGCTTTCAAGTGAAACTTTTGTTACCATATTAACTATTCTGTCATAAAAAACTACGCTGATCTAGTGTCTACTTTATCGCTAGAAATTGTTACTGTTATTCAGAATGACTATTTGAAATGGAAAAAAAGAGAGATGCCTTGATATTTTTGTTATTTTGTCTGAAAAAATTAGAGGACGGAATGAAGCATTTTGAAATCTCTTTTGATTTCTGTTTGGTTGACAGGTAGCTCTCCTTCTGATACAACATAGAGCGAATGTGGATGTAGAGGACAAGGAAGGTTATACTGTGCTTGGTAGGGCTTCTATTGATCTTAGACCAATATTGATTGATGCTGCTAAGGCCATGCTTGAAGAATGAACTTTATTAGTCTACTAATTGGGTTTAAATGGTAACTCTGCTTCGTAGTTCAAAGTCTCAACTATTGAACTGTTTTTGCCCGGATGACATCTCTGACTTGTACCAAAAAGGGTCATGAAAAGGAAGTAACCTACCATTGAAGTGTTTTTGTAACCAACTCTGTAGTTTCCAATTGGTCAAGATAATGATGCGTATATTTTTATTTTTATTTTAAAAAAAATTAAATTAAAAAAAATATATAAAAAAAAACCCAATGATGCACATATGTGAAAGGAATGAAAGCAGTATTCACACATCTGTGTGATGGATGGTTTAATTCAAATTTTAGTTTCCTTATATATGATTGTGAAAATGAATAAGTAGATGTGGAGTTTGTTTTCTTCTTAAGTGAGTCTGATGCTGTATTCCTTTTCCACCAGTTTGTGTTATTCATTTTCTTAGAATTGTGTGTCAAACGGGTGCAATTAAATCTCAAAGAAGGACATGGTATAATATCTCTCAAAGATCAACTCTCAGGTATAACTTCATGTTTCCTTCTTTTTCCTATCTAAATCCTGCTGTATTTTTATATGTCAACCGTGTTACAGAGTAATCTCAAGTAGAGTTCTATTTTATAATTTTTTTCATATATGGTCATTTATAGGCTTTATGGAAATAACAGTTCAAGGTGATGAGTTTTAAATTAAATTCTTTTGTGAGAAAGGAATGGCCCCATTCAATTTCAGTTGGAAATTCAAACAGGAGATTAGTTCTTCACCATTTTTAGAGACTATAATGTTGCCTTAAGTTTATTTCTGCTGTTAAAAGATTAATGACCTTTTAAAGCCAATTTTTGTGGTATCTTTAGAAGTGCATACTTTTTTCTTCATGAGTTGAGTTTGTAGATTTAAATTCTGATGCTTTATCTAATGACATGCTTTAACATCTTGCCTTACTTTCAGGTTGAGACTGGAGGCAATCCAGGTGTCCTCTTCAAGACGCACCCTAACATCAACAAAGACCTGTTTTCCAATGGATTGCATTTTTTTCATAAAAGAACTTTTCCTAAGTTTTTAGTTGTAATAACTCACATATGACTCCAATTTTAAGACTCAAATGGAATGCCTGATTAAACTACAGTGCTATACTTGTCTAAATTCTTGTCATTACTACTCTTAGAGTGCTTAATGTTACACTTTTTCGTTTTTTCTTTTTGCGACGGTAACAAGATGGTCGCCAAAAATCATGTTAGTGTTTTTCTTTCTTTTTTGCGACGGAAAAATAGTGGTCGCTATAAGTAGTTTAGGCGGTCGCGAATAATTTGCGACCGTTGCTTTGCCATCGCAAAAAGTATTTGCCACCCCCACATTCGCGACCCCCATTTGCCGTTGCATGGGCCGTCCCAAAAGGTCTTTTGCGACTGTTTTTTTATTATTTGCGACGGTTTATAGCGGTCGCAAAAAGTGATTTTTTTAGTAGTGCTAAGAGGTTCAGAGTTTAAACCAACCAAGTGAAAGATTCTGGCCTGAACCAATCTGGTGAAGACAAGAAGTAAAACTTTAACTTCAAGGTTAACTTGTCTTTTAAAGTTTTTATTTTTTAAATTTTTTTTAAGTCAATGACCTTCAAACATTGGCATTTGTAATTTATTTATTAGATCAAGTCTTTTATATCCAATCTCCATCTCAAATTCTATCTTTGTCACAGCCATTGAGACAAAGAAAAGGTTAGATTTCAGTGGCTTTATTTATGGGTGTTGGACAATTTTCACTGTAATTAATTAATTTTGTTTGTATACTTAACAATAAACATAATATAAAAGAAATAAAGGAAATGAGAGAAAATTGTTTGATTACAAAAATCAAAACTACAAATAAAATTAAATAAATAAAAACAGATTTTATTTTGTTACAAAACCAAAATTAAAATCTGATTTAAATAAACAAATAAAATAGAATAATAAATTAAACAACTTACTTGATTAATTTCTTCAAATAATAATCTGATCAAGTCCAGTGTTCGACACTGTGTCCTTAAGACAAATTCGTCATCTTCACGATGCTTTCAGAATATGGACGTCTATCTCCCAGGATGAAATGATCAACAACAAATAAATGTAGCACTACAATTTATTTGTTTAACGAACACACTTAGTATATACACTATTTCTCACAGAAAAATAATGGAATAAATGCAGCAACATGCAGAGATGATTTGCAGCAAAAGATGGACGAAAATTGAAGTGTATCTGATCAAATGAGGGCTAGTCTATTTATAGAAGTAATGGCACCCTTTAATTTTGAATTGAACAGGTAGCATACCTGTTTGAACAGGTACTGTACCTGTTGGGTTTGAATTTGAACGGATAATCGAATCTGTTTGAATTTCAAATCTGTTCGGGTGGATTTAAATTTGAACCGAACAGATTCGGTTTTGGACAGATCCAAACCTGTAAAGAATTTCTGAAGAGGTGCAAATAAAATTTTGAATTCAAAAAATTAAAATTAAAATTTGGACAGAATTTATTCTATCAAAAATAAATTGAATTCAAATATTTTTTGCCCAAAAAGATTAGTATTGGGCTGGACAAGCCCAACCTAACCTCACACCACGCATTCGTGCCCAGGCCAACCCGCGTGTATTGATTTTTGGGTCCAATAGGTCTAGCCCATAACCTCTCCCTTCTACAAATTTGGGGTGCCCTTTGGGGCCCTTCCCAAGTTATAAGTCCAAGCTATATAAACCCATTCAAAACTTCCCACCAAATCAATGTGGGACAAGCCATTACACAAACTTTAAGAAATTTTCACCAAAACTCCATTTCCATGGAGCACACTTTGGCTTCAATTTACCATTCACTCGATAATGGTTTTGAGCAACCAAATATACCACGTGAATCACAACGTGGCATAGAACACGTTACCATTTTGACCTGCAAAAATCGACGCACGGGTCCCACCTAAATATTAGACCAAAGTTAGGAAAAAATCTATTTTTTACCC